TATGAACCTTATATTCTTGTTGAGAATCTGCTCCTACACATTCAAAGGAAGGTACAGTTATTTTAGAAAGAAAGTATGACCTACCTAAACAACAGCCCCCTGAGAATTAGCATATCATCATCTTCCCTGTCGTTTAAAGACAAGATTTTTCCAGTTCCCTCCAACACATCAGAACAACAGCAGGAAGCCTGTGGCTCTCCAGATGTGTTGGTGATTTCTGTTAGGGCTGTCAAGAATTGTAGGCTAAAACACCTGGAAGGCCACAAATCTTCCACCTCTTTTGTACAGTGACAGTCACTGTCAACCTTTGGCTTGACAGAGAGCTTTTGGTTGTTGGGCAGTATAAAAATGTAATAAATAAATAAAATAAACCTATTTCTGAAGATGCTCTACAGATAATACTTGCATCATTCTTGTCATATGGGGGGATGTGAAACACATAACAACAGACCATAACATTAATCTGAATTGCACTGCCTTAACTAAAGGTATCCAAGCTAACTATAGCAATGCATACTGGATTTACTCTATTGGAGACAGAAAGGGCCCAAATATTCCTATTGCAATTTTCACATAAAAGAAGCCTATACAGACTAATCTCATGATTCAGATAATGTGCTATACAAAGAGCCTATGGGTCTACCTTACCTGTCTAGTCCACTTCCCTCTTTTTATATTTGAAGCACGCACTTAACCTGGTGACTTCATTTCTACTCAGCTAGTGTTCTTCATCCACCCATCCCTGCCATAGTTCTTAAGCTATTTAATTATGCAACCTAGCTAATTTGCCAGATGAGTTACCCATGACACCAATTAGCCCTATGCTATACTCACTGATGCAGTAGACATACAGAGCAAGCAAAGGATTACCCAATTCTCAGGAGAGCTTGGAAGAAAAAAAGAGAGAACAGTCCTGTTGTCCCAGCTTGACCTCAATATATGAAGAAGCAGAATCATTGGATATAAACCATCCCCACATATCCCTAAAGATATCCCATTTGGCCTGGCATAACCAGTTTGTAGATGCAGGAGATGCTTGCAACATGGAAATATTAGAAGTACCAGCCTCAAAATTGCCATAAGTATGCAAACCAACAGCAGAACCAAAAGCAACCTGTAGGGCCATCTATACAAACCACAGTTCCAAATATTCTTTACTGCGGAACTTCATAACCCCACAGAACCTAATGAGTATCTACTATTTCTTAGTAATTCTGCACTTTAATAACCCACACAATACATTATTACAAAATATAAATGGTAACATTGTTCACAGCTGTTTGCAGAAATGTTCAAGTTACACAAAAGTCTTAATTAGGAACTGATGGGCCAGTTAACTAGCTTCCTCTGTGCATTGTTTGATGAATTCCACAATAATTAAAATCTCCTGTAATTATACCAAAAAAGTGCATTATCAATTCCAACCCGGTACATGCATACTCAGAAGTTCTGCTTCCTTCAACAAAACTTACTCACTTGTACTGTCAGTGTTGTTCCTCTCTCCTTAGAACAATTAGGACAACAACTGTCAATAGTGAACTATCATTTCAGGAGAAGTAGCTACATCAGTTTAATGCAGCAGAACACAAAGTTCTGCAGCCCCTTAAAGCTTTGAACATTTATCATGTCATGAGCCTGTAACTGTGGAAGTAGGAATTTGATTACAAAACTCATACAGCATGTCATAACAAACTTTTGACTTATTTATTATTACATTTATATCCTTTTTCCCCATCTGGAAAGGAACTCAAGAAAGCTTACATAACCTTCTTCATCTCCCTTTTATCCTCATAACAATCCAGTGAAGTATGTTAGGCTGAGAATTAGTGTTAAGTCCAAAATTACCCAGTGAGTTCTATGGCCACGTGGGACTAGAACCCACATCTCCTGAGTTTCCCACATTCTAACCACCAGTGAGATTGTTTTAGTTGTTTAAATTGCTTTCAATTTTGTATATTGGATTTTTTTCTGCATTCTTTTAATTTTTATGAATTGCTGTCAGCTTCCCAAAGAGCTTTGGCTACTGCATGATAACATAAATTATTACTACTACTACAACTATTATACACCGCACTGATACCACACTATGATTGAAAAACTGAATCTTGCCATTCAATATTATACAAAGCTAGTAAACCTTTACGAAAGATACATATGAAGTCATCTGACTGTGTGTGTATGTGTTTCAAGTGAGAATTTACACCCCCTTCTTAGATTATTCCGTAAGAATAAGAGATCAAATATCTGAAGCTACTTATTTGAAAGAAGGGTGCTTGTTAAGGTGGAGAAAGGGGAAATTATCATTTGAAAATACATCTATCCCAAAGAGAAATCACCAGATTTTATTGCATTAAGAGTCTTGTGACGTTTTAACGGCTAACAAATTTATTCTGACATCTGTGGACTAGAGCTACTTCATCAGGTACATGGAACATTATGGGTCCCACCAAAGCCATCCCTTGTTCGCTACATCCATGTCTTCAGTTGCCAAGTAGATCCTTTTTAGCTTTTGCTCGACATTGTTATTTCTTTCAAAATTCTGCAAGGGAACCATATCCACTTGGATATCCACTCCCCTGCAATTAATGCAGAATAGAGCACAGAATAATATGATTTTAAAACCAGCAATTTCTAACAGAGGTTGCACACGCGCAGTGCATACTGGGAAATACAAGAACAAGTTTGAACTGTCACATGCAAAAGCATCCAAGATTAAACCCTGGAACTTAAACACAGGATTCTGCTTGGGTTTACAAGGGACTCAATTAAACCAGGCGTGGGCAATTTGTACCCTTTCCAGATATGAGGACATAAACTCCCATCATAATGAGTTATAACTGCCCACCCCAAATTATAACTTGCCCACCCACAGAGCTTCAGCTATTGGATGGCACAAGAGACTTAACAAACAAATTAATAACTGACCAGCACCAAGATAGTCTTTGCAAACAAAAATGAAAAAGTTGCCCACCCTTGAATTAAAGGGTAGCCAGCATGAGGAAAATCTTTGCTATCAAAAATGTGTGCAGCCTCCCGATTTTTTCTGTCCTACTCACTCGAAGTTTAAATTCACCCTCCCCGAAACTTCAGAGTTGCGTCCCTCCAGCTGACACGAGCGAGGGGGAGCCGCGGCGGACGGTTCTCGGGGCTTACAAGGGAGCAAGACACCGCGCTCAACTGTCACAAACCGCACTCATGCCCACTCCAAAGGGGCTGAGGGAAGGGAGGCAAGGCCTGCCGTGTGGAAAAGGTGGGTGTGGGCAGCGCAAGCGGCAAGGGCGCCTTGCCGGCCAAGGGCCTGGGACGCAGCGAAGCAGTAGTCCGCAGCGCACAAAAGAGTCCCGGGCGAGCGGCAAAGGTGCCCCTCCCCTCCGCACCGCCTGGCTTCCGCGGACTGGGAAGTTTTCCTCAGCGGCACTGGATCTTTTATTCCGACAGGGGCCCGCGAGAGGCCTCGAGCATGGCCGGAGGGAGCGCCATGCTCCGGCCCGGGGGCGGGCTCGCTGCCTGCCAGGCGCGCACCCAGCAACGCGGCATTCCCTTGCAAAGGCCTCTCTCTGGAAGGGCTCAGAAACGGAGCAGCCGAGGCAGCCGCAGGAACCGAAGGTCACTTGGCCACTCCCGAACCCAGGAAGGCTGCAAACCGTGTCATTGGGAGGAGGAAGAAGCCCCGTGGAACGCGTGGAAACATGCATGCGCGGCACGATCGGGTTGCAAGACTCAGCCTCCTGTCGCTTTCCGGCACATCCTCAAGGGTCGCGCCCTCCTCCGCATTCCTTAATCCGAAACAAATGGGCCAGGACTGATTTACCTGGTGACAGATCACTAGAGATGATTATCAGAACCAGCCATGCTGCGCGTTAAAAGGTAGAACTTTGTTTGCTCACTCGTGCAGCTTCACGCAAAAAGACCGCAGAGGGCTGACTTTAAACTGACAGTGGCCACGGGTTAAAATGTTCCGCGTGGGAACGTTCCACTCGTGGCCCACCACTTATAAACGTGTTTATCACACGAGCGGGGGCACAATCATGTGTACAGCGAGCACGTTAGTGACACAACCAAGCATAGGATGAACCCCCTGTACACGTAAACTGGCAAACAGGCGTGTAAATGCTCTTGCACTCGACGGGGCGCGCGTGGCAGGCTTAGCCTCCTGAGGATGCTGGTCTAACAAAACGGGAAGGCACCGGATCAAGGAAGCCCTTTCTTTGTCACCTCTTTGCTTCAGCCGACAAGGCCCACTGGTCGGCACCTAGATTGCCTAGCAGGCTACTTGGAAACGGGAGCGGCGGCGGCCAGTGCCTCAACCCCTCACCCTCTGAGGGGAGTTTTGCAAGCGAAGTCTGTTGCCACAGATACCATTTCCTCTACACATACACTCCGCATCTGGGCGAAGGAAAGGCAGTGAGTGGGCTGTCAGCATCTCTGAAGAGTGCAGATTTGGCCCAGGGGCCTCTAGTTGCTACCTGCTGGTGTGAACCAAAAGATGCTTTCCTGTCTCACCTTCCTTCTTTGCCCTGCACACTCTCCGCCTTGCAGCCTCTCGCCCCCACTGAGACAAGAGCTCCGTCCAGTCGCATTTTGGCCCTGCCCGGCCGGCCTTGCCTGCCACTCTACCCTTAACACACTGCCGCGACGGAGAGGGGGTGGGGGGGGCACCTTCCTTGGCCCAAAGTGGCTCGCCTCGCTGCCCTCCACCACTCCCTTTTAGGGACTTTCCCCCTCCCTCCGAGTTCCTTCCAACTTCCAAGAAGGAAGCGTTCCCCTTCACGGATCGCTCAGCTCCCCCTTCCTTCCTGGAATCGTAATAATAGGAATGTTCACACACAGTATGAAGGATTCCCCCGGGGAAAACCGCCCCTCCCAAACCGCCGCACTGCTGCTTCCTACCTCCTCCTACTGAAAAGAACAAAATCAGGCAAATACGAAATAGTAGCGGTGGCGTTCAGCCTGCCTCCACCGGGGAAGCCCTCGCCCCACCCCCGCTCCGCAGCTCTTACCTTCTGGGTCTACGGAGGAAGGGGTTTTCCCGCATTCAGCCCCCCTTCTCTGGATGCCCAAATGAAAGTCAGGGGGCAGCTTCCGCGGCTCTCTTCCTGTGCCTATTATAGCTACCGCTGCCGCCGCCACCCCCGGCGCGCTGCACTTTCCCCATTCTTCTCTTTCCCCCTCTCGGGCTCTGAATGCGGCGGCAGCAGGGCACAGTTGGGACATTCGCTACATTGTTAGCATTCCATTCGCGCCACGTGACCCGGGCTCCGGCGTCATTCCATCGCCCGCCCTTCGCATACCAGCGAGGAAGGGGGGGTGGAGTCCCACCGCAGTTTCGCGCCTGGCCCGCCCCCCAACCGAAGTAAGGCGAAGCTTGCAGCCTACCTGTTGCAGTTGCTTTGGGGCTGCGATGGCAGAGGGCCCGTAACGGCTCGGACGGAGGGTCCAGCATCTGGCTTCCAGTGGTTGAGAGATTTGGAGCGTGCCTCAGGCTCCGGAGCACCCTCCCTCTTCGTTTGTCTTTGCAAATTCTCCCCTCCTTTCCAGGGGCGGTGCTAGGTTCCGAAAAGATCCAGCGCTCAGGCCCACTGGAAAAAAGGCACAAATTTACATATGCTAATTTACATATGCTCTAAAATCTGTCCGCGTGTATGCGCCTTTCAAGTATCCAGTTATTTGTAAAGAAAGGATGCAAGGACAGCGGAGAGGCGGGCATTTAATTTCAGAAAGAAACCTCGGGCAATGAGATTTGTGAGGAGAGAAGGACGTAAAGCGATTGTGGGCAAAAAGCCACCTAAGCTGGGAGATCTGATACAACAGAGGTTATCAGAGCTCTGGACCTTTATTTCAGCAAGTGCCTGTGGACTGTATGGAGAAGGCAGCTTTAGAGGCCGTGTGCCTATGTACCCCAGTTTCTCGGGACCATGGGCAGGAGGGTGCTGCTGTACTCATATCCTGCTTGTAGATTTCTCATGGACACCTACTGGTTGCGGAATACCAAACTAGATGGAAATTGGTCTGACTGCAGCATGACTGTTCTTAGGTTTGTAAACTGGAAATTGCCCTTGGGGCTTGAAACATTTTGGATGGTGTCTTCTCTATGCATTAACCTGGGGGCATATTAACCATAATCTGATAGGTACACCAAGGTAAAGCAAATCAGATTTTTATGGAGGAGGGAGCATAGGGCAGAAAGAAGAGTAAGAACATAGAAGGGCCTTGCTAGATCAAACCAAAACCAAATAGAATGGGTGCAACGTTCTATTCCCAGAATGGCCAACCAATTGCAAATCTGTAAACAACATACGGGATGAAGTGGGATTTTACAGCTAAGTAAATGGTCTGGAACTGGGCTGTAAAGTCCTGTGCTTGTTAAATGGATTGAACATATGAAAAGGCTTTATTGTCATCTGTTGCCTATTTACCTAAGGACTAGGTTCTAGCCCTCTGGATGATTTGCATACAGAATCAGGTTATTCATCGTGCTCAAACATGTATTCTCTGTCAGGCGGTGCTCTCCAAAATTGTGGGCAAAAGCAGTGCTACCTGTGATCCTCTTCATTTGGAGGTGGATCTAAGCTGAATCCTTTGGCAAACAAAATTTGTCCTGTGCTACTGATTTATGACCATTCCTAACAGGAGCAAGATTGTACCTCTTCTCCATAATTAGATCCTAAAGCATTGCTTATTCTGAAGTAAGTCCATATGAATTCAGTGTACTTCCAAATTTCCAAATTAACCATTGAAAAATATTTCTGCAGACGTAGACACTGCTCTATTCAGCAGGGCTTAGTCCCTAGTAATTATGTTTAGGAAGATATAACAGAGGTTTATGAAAGCATGCCAGGTGCAGAAACTGTTTTCTCCCTCATAGTATGAGAGCTCAAGGTCACCTATTGGATCTGGTAGCACATTCAGAGAAAATAAAGTACTTCAGCATAGAATAGTAGAGTTGGAAGGGGCCAAGAAGCCCATTGGGTCCAGCCTCCTGCGGTTGCAGGTCACCAATTTACACCATCCCACTCACCAGCCCTAACCCTTACATAATTTGTCTTCATGGAATTTGCTCCCTCAAGACATGAGTGATTGCAGTAGCTAAGAATCCTCCATGAATTTGACATTTAAACTTATCCAAATCTTAAATGTCTTTAAAAGACAAACTCTATAGAAGATACAAGTATTAGCTATTAAAAATTTAGAGGTAGGATAAACAGTTGTTTGGGGATAAAAGGTGAAGAACGGACACTGCCTTTATAACCTATTGGAGGTCTTCCCAAATTGACCACTGCTAGATGCTGAATTAGATGGACCCAGTAGGGTTTCTTTCTTTCCTTTTTTATGCAACAAGTAAACTAGAGCAAGGGAAACATGCCACAAAAGGAAAGCAAAATAGGATCACTTGCCATTTTGGTAATACTTTGATTTGGAACTCATGAAACCCTGTAGTTAAACAAAGATTTGTTCTCCTGTTGACTTCAATACCATTCCAAAAAAACAACCAGATTTCTATTATAGGCTTTTAGTCTGTGTGTACTTATGTTTATAAGAGAAATATTACAAACTGCTATGTTCCACAAGAAAATATGATTCCACAAACAGAACATGTTTGGTATGTCAGCTGAGCTGCCAGTTTCTCAATGAGAAAGAACTAGGGGTGTCAATCAGAAGAATTTATTGAGAGGAGTTGGAAAGGAAATCCCAGTTTGGAGAACAATAGGAATATCATTACGTTCTGAGATAATTCCAGGCATGAAAGAATGTTGTGGGGTGAAGCAGATCATTTCACAATCATCCAATACCTGCATTTTTAATAATACTTAAATGATATAAGAATGCAGCACAGCTTCATTTAATCCATGAAATGTGGGAATGAGATTGTTTGAATTATAGCATTGTTCATTGTTAGGTCTGGTTTACCAAAACAAAGCCTAAAAGTAATTGTATCTCTTATCCCTGGAAACTAGTATTGTATATTACTACACTTTGATCATTAAATTAAGTGTAAGGATCTTTAGAATAGTTCATATTCATTAATTGTAGCCCAGTCAGTGCAGATTACTATTTATTAACAAGCAAGCAAACAGAAGTGAAGCATTCATGTCTATTTGTAAGATTTTTAACTCGTCTCTCAAGATTCAAAAGTCAGCTTACAATATTGCAAAAACACACAACTTACAATTAAACACACATCCACAACAGCAGAAACTAGTAATTTTCAAATAGCAAACATATAGTGGAATACATGTGTCTTCAGGTTGTTGTTAAAAAAAGAAGTATGGATGAAGGTGGATATATCTCCCTGGGGACAGAGTGCCACCACTGAGAAGCCCTGTTCACCAGCTTAATGGCTCTTGTTCATGGGGCAGGGAGTAGGTCTTCTGACACTGATCTTAATGCACGGGCAGCCTCAAATGCATATGTAGTCCTTCAGATAAGTTGGTCCCAAACCATTTAGGGATTCAAAGCTGGGTGGCAGAAAGTCAATCTTGGAGGGCTTTATCTCCCAGGCAGAGGTTGAGGTGGTTGGATGGGGTTGCTGGAGAAGTGAGTATGGAGCTGGGTGTACTCCAGGGGATGGTGGAGGACAGGAGAACCTGGAGGAAAGTTGTCCATGGGGTTGCGAAGAGTCAGGCACAACTTTGTGACAAAACAACAACAACAACAATCTCTCAGCACTGCTGACCATTGGCCATGCTGACAGAGGCTTCTGGAGTTGAAACCCCAAACATCTGGAGATCTACAACCTGTCTTCCTGCTTTAGAGGACAAAATAAACATCCTGTATTGGGCTTGGAAATGAATAGGCAGCCAATGTAAAAACTATAGGAATAATATGATCCAAGTACCTCATACAAACATTTCAAATTTTGCATTCTGTATCAGTTAGTTTCTGAATTATCTTAAAGGCAAATTCTACACAGAATACATCACAGCAATCTAACCTAGATGCAACATAGGTGTTTCAACTATGGTTAGGCCAAGCTTTTTCCAGCCAGGACTGCAGCTGTTGAATCAGCCTAAGCTGGAAAAAAGCCCTCCTGTCGGCTGATGCCACTGCACCTCCATAGATAGTTCAGGAACTCTCCAAAATACACATGTCCTGACTCTGACTCCCTCTAGAGTTAGATTTAAATGTTCATCTAGGTTGGGGTGGCCCAACACACAGCCCTCAGGCTGCGTGCAGCCCCTGAGGCCTTGGTCTGCAGCCCTCCTGCCACTTGGAGCTCCCCCATTTGCCTTCCCCCGATCCTTCTCATTGGTTGTGCCCCATCTATGGAATGGCCTTCTGAAAGCAGTTCACCTGGTGCCATCTTTACAATAATTTTGGTGCCAGGCAAAAACTATCTTATTCCCAGACATTTTAATATTTGGTTTTATACTGCTCAATTTTGAGGCATGTATTTTATATTGTTTTTTAGTTTTAATATACTATTTTGATCTATTTATATCTGATTCCTCAGGTGCATATTGTATATTTTATTGTATAGTGTTACTGTTTACTGTTATTATATATTTATATGCTTTATTATATGTTGTTTTTATTGTTTATTTGTCATCTGTTTAGAGAGTCCTTGGGACTAATTAACTGAGGAATGTAAGTTGAATAAATAAATAACATCCCACCAAATATGACAGTGGATATGGATTTCTCTATTTATCCTCAGTACAACTCACTGCAAGAGTTCCTTTATGGAGGTTTAGAATCTATTAGGAAAAAGGGATGGGAAGGGAAATGGGAAAAGGGTGGTCCTTTGGCAGGCCTTACGGAACAGCCCTGCTTCTCCTCTTGTCTCCTTCTCATGGTTGGGTAGGACTATCCAGTACTCCATCGACACAAGTCCACAACTGTACTTTTGTGGATTTTGGGCCCCCTGAGCCTCCAGCTAAAGTTGCAGGGACTGACTGTTTGTCTTGTAGGCACCATAGTCAGCCCTAAAGTATTCACCTATCATCAAAATTTTTGCAAACACACACATGCACACACCCAAACATGGGTGGGGGATAAGGCTGAAAAAGCTAAAGTCAACAAAAAGGTGCACAGGCACTGTTCCAGGCACAACAAGAATCCTGGGAATGCTAACCATAAATCAGCCACAGGTATTTCACCATTGTTGTCTAATCCTGTGTTCAAGGAAAAGAATGTGAGATTTTCAGAATGACCTCTACATAGATTGGGGATTGCTATCTTGTTTACTACTGAAGGCCATTTT